TAGATGTGCTCTGTTTAACAGAAACCTGGCTAAAACCAGATGATTACATTATTTTAAATGAGTCTACCCCCCAAAATTAGTTATAAACATGAGCCGCGTCCAAAAGGTAAAGAGGGAGGTATTGCTACAATTTATAGTAAAATTTTCAGTATTTCTCAGAGCTCTGGTTTCAAGTATAATTTGTTTGAAGTAATGTTGGTTTACCCAGAGAAACAAGTGTTAATGATAAATCCCCTGTGACGTTTGTACTGGCTACTGTATACAGGCCACCACGGCACAATACAGATTTATCAAATAATTTTCTGATTTTCAATCTGAGCTAGTGCTGGCTGCAGATAAAGTCTTAATTGTTAGCGATTTTAATATCCATGTTGATAATGAAAAAGATGCATTGGGATCAGCATTTATAGACATTCTGAACTCCACTGGGGTTAGACAACACGCGTCAGGACCTACTCATTGTCGTAATCATACTTTAGGTTTAATACTGTCACATGGAATTGATGTTTATGACGTTGATATTCTGCAGCAGAGTGATGATATCTCGGATCATTATCTAGTTTCTTACTCCATAAAGCTAAAGCTACAAATTCAACTTCTTGTTACAAATATGGTAGAACCATCACTTCTGCCACAAAAGACTGCTTTGTAAATAATCTTCCTGACTTGGCCCAATTCCTCAGCATATACTATAGCTCAGAAAAACTTGATGGTCTAACAGAAACTATAGACGCTCTCTTTTCTAAGACTTTAGATACGGTTGCTCCTTTACACTTAAAGAAGATTAAAGAAAACAGTCCGACACCGTGGTATAACGAGCACACTCGTGCCTTAAAGAGAGCAGCCCGGAAAATGGAGCGCAGCTGGAAGAAAACAAAACTAGAGGTATTTCGTATTGCATGGCAGGAATGTACTTCTACTTATAGAAAAGCTCTAAAAACTGCTAGATCGACTTAATTTTTGTCTCTCTTAGAAGAGAACAAACTCAACCCCAGGCATTTATTCTATACAGTGGCTAAATTAACAAAAAATAAAGCATAAACAGACGCAGTCCTTTCCCAACAATACAGCAGTAATGAACTTATGTCACAATGGACTGACATAAGGTGTCTGAGGTGGGTCTCGAACCCGGGTCTCCCAGTCAGGGAAAACTAGTTCTTTACCTCTGCTCTACTGGGGAAGACAGTGTTTTAGAAGACCCATGTGCAGAAGGAAAGGCAAACTCGGAGGCTCAGATAACTCAAAAGCAGGCAGTATTTACTGTCTCAGTATTCAAATACAAAAGATCAGTTATAGCTTTACAAAACAAAACATAATGTAGGCCAAATGGGTCTCATTATAGTCCTTCACGTCCAATGTGATCTCAAAACTCTGGCCATTTGATAATACCTAGAATATAAAAATCAACTGCGGGCGGCAGATCCTTTTCCTATTTAGAGCCCAAACTCTGGAACAATCTACTTAGCGTTGTTCGGGAGGCAGACACACTCTGTCAGTTTAAATCTAAATTAAAGACCCACCTCTTTAACCTGGCATACACATAACACAC